CCTTGTGTATTATGAATATCAGATCCCTACAGCTTTCTTGGCTCTACCAGCCATTTAGGCAAGTTCTTATTGACTTCAATCTCCACCAAACTGTACATATTCTAGTTGGAAATTGGGATCTTTCTTATGCAATACATGTTTTATTGTTATCCTCCTCTGATTAGAACAGTAAAACAATTCATAGACCTCTAATATTTCTTGCTTTGAAACACATCTATTCTTTGGAACGAAGCACTTAGGAATATCAAAGTTGAATAAACTATTTTCTATTTGTATTGATATAAAGGATATATACATCTTCTGTTCTTACGCTCTTGCATGTGCTATATGCTAATACCACCGCTTTGCTGCTTGTATCTGTTCGCTTGAACTTATCAGCCGGCTTATCAGCTAGAATCTACAGTATTTTTCTCTCACAACAAAACAGCTTCAGCCGGCTTATCAACCGGCTTTAATACCAGCCGAACAGGCATAGCCAAAAAGGCAGACATGGAGAATAGGAATTGTCCAGCAAAAAAAAAGATTGACACTTAGTAAACAGACAGAATTACATGGGCTTAATTTCTTGTCACTCCTGAGGTATCACTACGCCAGATTTGCACATCACTGTGTTGGCTTGCTCAACACTGCCGGCTTGAACCATGAACCAACACTGATAGTTACGACAACACTGTCGGTTTGATCCATGAACCGACACTGATATTTACTACAACACTGCCGGTTTGATCCATGAACCGACAGTGTAGGCTTGCTCAACACTGCTGGCTTGAGCCAAGAACCGACACTCTTGAAGCAACCGTCACTGTCGGTTGGCACTACAAACCGGTAGTGTTGTTTAACTGGACACTGCCGGGTGGAGCCAGGAACCGACACTATTTCCTATAAATCATTGTCGGTTTTTAAGGACCGGCAGTGATGTCAATCCCCCATCACTGCCGGTATGCCCCTGTCGGTTCAAAATCCGGTAGGGAAGGGGTTTTTTGAACCGACAGTGATGTCCAGATCTGGGGTAGTGTATGTAAAATCTCAACATGAACTCTATATCCTTTATGTTTTGAGGGGATGTATGCTGATTTTTTTTTCAAAACCTTACTGTCAGGACATTGTATCACGGATTATAGCAGGCATAACACTGATGGAAGCTGTCGGAATGAGTTCGGTATGCAGCACGTCGAGAAAAGCCTGTATTTACCATCCTAATCTTGACTTTGATATTTTGACAGTGCTTGGCAGTAGTGTTCCAACAGTACATTCACATCGCACCAAGGCCAAGAAAAATCAAAGCTCCAGTCGGCATATTACAATGCAGGGCCTTAAGAGGTTTATTGACATGGTCAATTTTGTCCTGAGGAAACACAGTGGTTTAGCTTTGAACAGATTGGCTGTTAACTTTGAATTGCACAAGGAACATGCGAATGATATTGATGGATGGGTTTCCTTTGCTATCTCATCGAAGGCAAGGGTTGTGGTGCTCAATTTTTCTCCATATCTGGGACAACATGAAAATAATAACTATAGCTTCCCATGTCATCTTTTTAACAACCAGAATTCATCTCACCTTCAGGTCCTTGGACTTGATAGTGTTACTTTGGATCCAAGTCGTGAGTTTTGTGGCTTTTGAAATCTTAGAACACTTGCTCTGGTGCATGTGCTTATATTGCGAGATTTGCAGTACTTTTTATTGAGATGCCCTTTACTGGAGTGGCTAACCACGACGATGTCCCGAGCTACATAATTTACTTGCTGCTGAACCATTGCAGCGGTTGAAATTTCTGTGTGTTCAAGATTGTGCTATTCACAGGATTGATTTGCATGCCCCTAATCTCACAGTGTTTGAGTACAGAGGTGGTTCAAAGGTGCTTTTTGCACTTAGCGAATGCCTGAAGCTGAAGACAGCAGCTGTTGCATTTTTCGTTGAGGAAAACCTTGGATATATTTCTTTTTAGAGTTAAATGCACTAGATGTCCATTAACTTGTGAGGAGGTTTCGGTTAGGTCTATCAACTTCTAAAGTGGCTTTTTGAGTCCATAAATTTTGTATGCCATATCACTTAGGTCCATATCTCGCCACACCACTACCGGACTCCTGTAGTTCGCCGAGTGTCCGAAACACTCGGCAAAATACATAAAACACTCGGCAAATAGTTCGCCGAGTGTAGCACTCGGCGAACAGCACTCGCCAAAAACAGTGACGGCAAAGCCAACTTTGCCGAGTGTCTTTTATCGGGCACTCGGCAAAGCCTTTGCCGAGTTGCCGAGTGCCCGACACTCGGCAAAGTTGAAACCGAAAAAAACCCGAAAAAATGGGATTTTTACCCAAAAAAAATGGAATTTTTTTTATCGATGGAGGCTCCCACCGGCCAGCACCCACCCATCTCCGACATTTTTCGCGTGAATTTTATGGCTACGCGGCCGACGCGATTCGAACCCGAAACCTCCCGCTGTGCACGTACCTCCTCTACCACTACACCACACTCTCACTTGTGTCTGGATTCCGTTTTAGTTTCCAATATATTATACTAAATCGAGTGTAAATTACATGTTTGAGGCCCTAAACGAATTCAAATAAAAAAGTTGTAAACTACAAAGTTTCATAACTTTTCGAGATCTACACTTTTAGTTTATAAAGTTTTTCCATCCGAGGTCGTTTACAAAATTTGAATTTTAAAATTTTGAAATTCAAACACAGTTTTGCATGACAAGATGTTTTCAAATCAAAAAGTTGTAAACTACGAAGTTTCATAACTTTTCGAGATCTACACTTTTAGTTTAGGAAGTTTTTCCATCCGAGGTCGTTTACAAAATTTGAATTTTAAAATTTTGAAATTCAAACACAGTTTTGCATGACAAAATGTTTTCAAATCAAAAAGTTGTCAACTACAATGTTTCATAACTTTTTGAGATCTACACTTTTAGTTTAGGAAGTTTTTCCATCCGAGGTCATTTACAAAATTTGAATTTTAAAATTTTGAAATTCAAACACAGTTTTGCATGACAAAATGTTTTCAAATCAAAAAGTTGCCAATTACAAAGTTTCATAACTTTTCGAGATCTACAAAGTTTATTTTGGTTGTTTGATCATCTATTCATCTGACATGGTCGTTCTAACATTATTCACAAATCTTATATATCTCTATTGTAGTTTCATAAACTACCATAGAGATATGTTAGATTTGTGAATAAATTTATTTTTCACTTTGTCGTATGAAGAAAAGACCAAAACAAATATTGTACATCTTGATGAGTTATACAACTTTGTAGTTAAAAACTTTTTGATTTGAATTAATTTACTGCTTCAAAATGTGCTTTGAAATTTTCTTTGCCGAGTGTAAAAAAAAATAACACTCGGCAAATAAGCTCTTTGCTAAGTGTCAAAAAAAACACTCGGCAAAGAATCTCTTTGCCGAGTGTCAAAAAAAAACACTCGGCAAAGAGCCTCTTTGCCGAGTGTCAAAAAAAACACTCGGCAAAGAGCCTCTTTACCGAGTGTCAAAAAAAACACTCGGCAAAGAGCCTCTTTGCCGAGTGTCAAAAAAAACACTCGGCAAAGAATGTCTTTGCCGAGTGTCAAAAAAAAACACTCGGCAAAGAGCCTCTTTGCCGAGTGTCAAAAAAAACACTCGGCAAAGAGCCTCTTTATCGAGTGTCAAAAAAAACACTCGGCAAAGACGTCTTTGCCGAGTGCCCGAAAAAAACACTCGGCAAACCACGTGGCACTCGGCAAAGAGCCGGTCTCCGGTAGTGCATGGGCTTCGCATGCTGACGTGGCCTGCTAACATGTCCGTCTGAAGCAGCTCTTGGCAATGCATTTTGTCAAACAGCTTGTGGGCGACGGCGATAGCATCCCCGGCGCGCCGAGCAGCGAGCCCGACAGCGCGTTGCCGCTCACGTCGAGGTGGACCAGCGAGCGCATTGCGCCCAGCCTTAGCAGGGGTCCGGCGCCGCGTCTAGCATGATCCTCGGCTCGCGCCTAGCGTCGTGGCCCTCAGCGGCGGCCGTCGTCAGCAGGCGGAGGGGCGGCGGCGTGTCCTCCTCCTTAAGGATGAAAACGGAAAGGAAATATCCCGAACCGAACCGCATCGTTTTCTACATTTGACCCGAGCGAATTCGTATTTTCGGACAAAATACGGAATACTAAATTCGAATTCGAAATACGGAATACTAAATTCGAAATCGGATCGAATTCGGTTTAGGCTTTGTTCGACCGATTTCTACTTTTCTATATTTTATTCGAAATCTTCCGTATTCTAAATTCGGTTCGAACCGAATTTGGTCCAGCTCGCGCACGAGCAGCCCACCTGCGCCCTTGGCCCAGACAGCCTTGGCCTCCCCAATGGCCCAGCCGAACCCCACCTCCTCTCGTGGCCCACTCCGACGCACAAAGCCCAAGCCGCCAGGCCGGCTCCGCGGCCTGTCCCTTCCCTTTGGCCCAGCGCGCGCGCGCATGGCCCCCAGAGAAGAGTGCAGATTGCAGAGTAAACCAACCTGGCAGCTGCATTGAAGCCCACAGAGATCATGAACACCCATGACTGGATCGACGTGCTGCAGACAGAACATTGACATGGACAGAGCGGCATTGTGAGCTGTGACTCGACTCTCAACTCTACCAGTAAATTTCCGGCATTGTAGCTAAGCTAATTAAGAACTAAAAAATGACCAACAAGTAACAGTAAGTAATTACCCACCAGACCGTGAGCGAGTCGAGGGCGATCATGGTCGTGTACTTGTTTAATGCTATGCACTGTGGGTCGGTATTTCTGATTGAATTTTTGCATACCGACCGTGTTCGACATAATTCCGCTCGAATTGGTTCATTTCCGAAATTCTAGATATTCCGTAAGTTCGTGTTCGTTTTCGTGTCCGGCTTGTCCGCTTTCGATTTCGTTTTCGTATTTCAAATGTAAAAGTAGAAAACGGTTGAGAAGTTTTTCGACCGAGTTCGACCGTTTTCATGCATACTCCTCCTCCTCCTCCTCCCGGTCCCGGTCGTCCCGGCGGCACATGCGGCTGCCGATGATCAGCTGCAGCGCCACCGAGGAGGTCAGCGGCGCCGTGGCGTCCGTCACCGTGGAGCAGATGCTGACGGTGTCGGCCACGGTGGAGGCGTCGCCGACCATCGGGCAGATGTACTTCGAGCGCGCCCTCGACGACGTCCGCGACCTCCTCGGCAAGACGCTGCTCATGGAGCTCGTCAGCTCCGAGCTCGACGCAAGTGAGTATAGCAGTGATACCGTCCGTACGTACCTCATGTCGTCGTTGGCTCGACACAGCACGCGCGCCACACACGCGTCATCTATCCCCCCTCCACTTCAACGATGGATGAGCGCCATGCATGCATGCTGCTAGTAGCTGCTCCAACCTAGCTAGCTGAGTTTGTAGAGACTACCACAGGCGCAAGACGCCATAACGACTAGACGAGAGTTTGTAGATGACTACGTAGGAAAGAAAGAAATGAAGAAAAATATCTGATCGAGTTTGAGCATGTGGTGGTGGTGGGTGCAGAGACGGGTCTGGAGAAGCCGCGGGTGACGGCGTTCGCGCACAAGACGCTGCGGGAGGGCCACTACGAGGCGGAGTTCAAGGTGCCGGCGTAGTTCGGGCCGGTGGGCGCGGTGCTGGTGGAGAACGAGCACCACAAGGAGATCTTCATCAGGGAGATCAAGCTCGTCACCGGCGGCGACAGCAGCACCGCCGTCACCTTCGACTGCAACTCCTGGGTGCACTCCAAGTTCGACAAGCCGGAGAAGCGCATCTTCTTCACCCTCAAGGTCTTCAGTTGTTTTTCCATGCATGCCTGGTGACTGCTGCAACAACGACGACGTACGTACCATGGATGCATGGCACTGACTCTTGTTTCGCGTGGCGTCGCGTGCGTGCAGTCCTACTTGCTGTCCGACACGCCCAAGGGCCTGGAGGACCTGAGGAAGAAGGACCTGCAGGAACTGCGCGGAGACGGGAGCGGCGAGCGCAAGGCGTCCGAGCGCGTCTACGACTACGACGTGTACAACGACCTGGGCGATCCGGACAAGAACCCCGACCACCAGCGGCCCATCCTCGGCGGCAGCAAGCGGTTCCCGTACCCGCGCCGGTGCCGCACCGGCCGTGCCCGGACCAAGAGGGACCCCCAGACGGAGAAGCGCGACGGGCACCACTACGTGCCCCGCGACGAGCAGTTCTCGGAGGTGAAGCAGCTCACGTTCGGGGCCACCACGCTGCGCTCGGGCCTGCACGCGCTGCTAGCTGCCGGCGATCAGGCCGATGCTGATCAAGAAGGAGCTGCGCTTCCCGCACTTCCCGGCCATCGACGAACTCTACAGCAACGGCATCCCGCTGCCGGCGCAGACCGGATTGGACGCCATCCGCAGCGTCGTCCCGCGCGTGGTCAAGCTGGTGGGGGACACCACCGATCACGTACTCCGCTTCGAGGTCCCGGAGATGATAGAGAGTAAGATAGCTTAGCTACTACCACTAGGCACTCCGCACTGGCACTGCACTGCACCCGTGACCCGTGGTTGGAATTGGAAATGGAAGCAAATCAATACTAAATGGCCGGGTTTGCATTGCTTTGTTGCATGCAGACGATCGCGGGGCTGAACCTAAATTGCACGGATAGGCGGATACGGATACCTTTAGTCCCGGTGGGTAACACCAACCGGGACTAAAGGTGCCTCCTGACATGCTACGATGGCCGGCACCTTTAGTCCTGGTTGGTAATACGAACCGGGACTAAAGGTTTTTTTCTTTTTTCTTTTCTTTTCATTTTTTTTTCTTTTCAAAATAGGTTTTCGAAGTCGTATTGTATGCTGCTAATTATACATTTATACGCGCATATAGTATATTTCGGTTCAAGCACAATGAACGTATTAAATCACACAATTCAAGCATAGAAATATATATATATATATATATGCATGCATCATATATATATTTACATGCATGCATGCATATGTGTATTTTACATTATATTATTTCATGTGCATATATTACAAAAGATTGCATTACAGTTGTTGTGACATAACAAGTTTCCTCTCATCCTCTAGCTTGGCTTCAATGGCAGTGTTGGGTCGAAGTAGAACTCGCCCTTGGAATCGATGACCTGCTCATTAAAAAATCCGGCTATAGACTCTTGAATTGCTTTGATTTGGTCTTGCCGTATGACCTTTTCCTCCAACCATCGAGTCTACAGGTTTGAATTAAAGGAAAATAAATTAATATATGTATATATATATATAAAGACATAGTAACACAATCAATAATAATAATTAAATGAATATATAATGTATTTTTAACGTACTTTGAGTCTCTCTGTATGAGTTCTTTGGGAGAGCACCTTGATAAACTTGCAAACATAGTAACCACAGTAGTTGTTCCCCTGTTCCTGCCTTAGACACCACTTTACGAGAAAAAGATTTGTCATCCAATCTGGTGATCCAGTGAAAGCTATATGTTTAATTAATAAAGATGATGCGATTCAGGGGACTTACTTTCAAAGGGATTACATTCAGTGGCGCTTTGCATTTTTCCATGTGTTGCTTCTCAATAAAGGTTTTTCAAACACTGCCCAATAAAAAATTTGCCACGTCATCAGATATAGTTAATCATCATGTTTGTGTGTATATATAGTTGCTAGAGATCCCGAAATTACCTCTGGATAATATCTATCATATCTTGGTAGTCTTGTTGTGGTTTTCTCATCGAGTCATAGATTATCAAGTGACTTTTCACCAGATCGATGTCCATCAATATCCAGTGATTGCTGCATGTGTTTATAGGATATAACGCATAACACTCGTTAATTAACTAGAATCAACATATGAGCCATTAAGGATATGATCGACATGATTAACACTCACTTGAAGTTATAGGGAAAGAGTATATCCTTCTTGTGGCGTTGGTTCACTAAGAAGTTCATGAGGTTACTCTCCTCGACTCGCACTTCCAATTAGTCTTTGGAGTAATTGGGTCTTCGAATACTATATGGGGATCAACAAAACCAATTTCATTGCAGCCTTCCTTTCTGAGCTCTGTCATTGTAAATCTGCATATATATAGTACTTGTTAGGATAATTTATATGCATATACACACATATGACGAGTTTAATAATAGATCGAAAGAATTATTACTTACAGGCAATAGTAGCTAATGATAACTTTGTCCAGAGAGGTCAGGTGGCATAGTTGATGAAATTCTACAAAGTCAACATACATAACATCATCGCCACGGAACCAATGTTCGTCTCTAATTATGACACCAACGCAGAAGTCTCCACTGGTAGATGCCTGCATGTACCACTTGTTTACTAGGTACATTTGCGTCCCCAGATCAGATAAGGCTTGAGGGTTGTATAGACTCTGGCCTAGTACAAATTTTTTCTTCCAAATATCAACCTCCGCCGCACTCTCAATGTTTCCATCACCAAACATCTGGTAAAGGTCGAGACCAGTCTCATCAAGAAATTCACCAAGGTGATCCAAATCGACATCCAGAGGTATGTTTGCCTGATGCATTAATCCTAAATTCGAACCATATTCATTACCAACAACTAGCGGGGATTGATTGGTGCGCTTGTTGTCCGAGTTGGGCAATGCCTTTCTCGCCTCGCCTTCTTTTTTTCTGTGCCGCCTCAATTGACTTGGTGAGAGTGCGGTCATAGTCCGATAACGTTGATTTGGACGGCTTACGAGATTCCCATTTGTTGTTGCTTTGGTAAGAAGTCACCTTTTTCTTAGAATATCTGGAGCTACGAAGAAGTACGGTTTCTCTGGGTTCTCCTTGCTTCTTGATTCATTTTAAGTTTGTCATAGAATCTAGACATGTCTTTTTTATATGCATCAGCCCTTCTTCCTTCTCTTCGAGATATTATTTTGGGAATAGCCCTTGGTTTCACGGTGGCTTTCTTTGCAAAGGGGGACTAGTTCTTCGTTTGAGGGGTTGGCCTCTTGCTAGGCTTCTTGGTAGGCGGGGCGGGGAGGCGTTGGAGACCTCCTTGGAGGTGTTAGCGTGGCGTTGGAGACCTCCTTGGAGGTGGCGGCTGCGGCGTTGGAGACCTCCTTGGAGATGGTGTAGATGCAGCCTCGTCTTCCAACATAATGTCATCGTACTGAGCACTATGATGATCTGGCGATTGAACAATTGGATTTAGGTTGGGGGAGGATCTGCTACAAAAAAAAGGAATGACATATTATTATGAGCAGATTGTTAATTATTTAAGCCAATACAAATTAATGATGTAGTGTTTTCATCCGCACGCACGTACCTATGGTGAGGTAGTTCAGAGGAGGTGGAGCCGACATCCTGGAATGATGATGTAAGCGCTTGCGCCATAGAATGAATGTCTTCTCCGCTTCTCCTAGAGTCTTCTCGCCATCACCTCCAGGAATGTCAAGAGGCAAATCACTAAAACCTTTTTCAGCTTTATCTACCGAGATGGTAGCATATCCTTCTTGTATTATATTCCCATGAATCCTTGGTGTCTTAGTTCGGTCGATAGGATTAACAAGACCGATAGCCACCTTGATTGTAGAATTCTCCTTCGAATGTGTAGCTCACACGCCAGTACAAGGTTCGATGGCGCCATCCACAGGGAAGCGCAATCCTGTGTCCCCTTGATTTCGTATCTCCGTGGAAGCGCAGTTGCTTTTCAACCCAATGATTGGCTAATGTTGATTTCTGTCTCTGATGCCTGCTTACTTGCACTCACTGCTATTTGCACTTGCCTTCTGATTTCCTCCTGCATTCTCGCTTCAAGGTTTTTTTCCCGCTCCTGTGCTTCACGCACCGCTTCCTCCAATCTCTGGAGCCACTCTGCCTCTTCTTCCTTCTTTCTTTCTCGCGACTTCAGAAGAAGGTCTGCATCTGAGGGAATCCATGCTCCCACGAGACACTTCCTTTGCCTCTAGTTCGCCACCATGTTCAACAGTCCCGATGGCGTATGTCACTCATCCTTCTCTCTTGTTGGGCCTGAACGCACCACTACCACCAGTAGCTCTCTGAGCATAAAACAATCTTCTCTTTGCTTCTTGCGGTCTTGCGCCATAAACGCACTTCCACATCTCCCCGATCTAGTGTTCCCCATGACCGAAAAACCAATTCTTTTGCACGTTCTCCCCACTCGAGTGATTCTGGTCTGATACCCTTCGCAAGAAGGTCTGCTTCCATTTTGTTTCACTTCTTAATGGCAGTTGGGTAGCCACCTGATCCCAAGGTATGGTGGTATGTCTTCTGTTGGGCATTACGTTGGTTCTTTATCACCCGACTCACACCCTCTTCCGAAGTCTTGTAATGTACAAACTCATCCTAATAGGGCCTCTGCTTTGAGATCGGGCCTGGGACAGTAAAATCTGGTGCTATGTTCTTCTTGACATATGTCGTGTATAGGTGTTTCTTCCAAGTCTGAAACTGGGTGGCCATCTTCTTCATTGCCCAATCCCTAACTCGCTCCTTCAATTCATCACCATCTATTATATCATCATAACCATCTGTTTGGAGCGTGAAATGTACCAAGACATCATTCCAAATTAACGCCTTGTCACGATCGGAGACAAAACTGATATGAGGAGCATTGGTCTTCTTCTTCCATTCACGGGTACTAATCGGGAGCCGGTCCCGCATAAGGTAACCACAAGTGGTGCACAAATTTCATTTTATTCGCCCCCCGTTCTCCTGTATCCACATTGAACTCCGAGATGATGAAGCGGCCCTCCAATGGCTTTTTGGGACCTCGAACATTTTTACTCTTCGTTGTAGTTGTTGATGTCGATCCAGAGGGCTACAAAACATAAACATTATTTTTAATGTCATGCATGAGCACACATAAAGACATATGATAATATATATAGCTAATAATAAAAAATATATACTTGGCCAATCTGTTGTTGCTCATTTTGTTCAAGAGCTAAGCATCGACTCCGCCATCTCGCATCCTCTTGCACGTTATTTTTAGCACCATCATCGCCGGCAACTTGAGTGCCGTGTTGATCAAATTCATCATCAACTCCTCCTCATCCATGTTTCTCGGGTCACCATCTAGCTTCAAAAACAAAACCAATATATAGTACATCAACAAATAGCGGTTCGCCTCGGTGTGATTGTTTAGCATTAACGATAACGATAATACGAATGTTGATCAACTAGGCCACGAGAAAGGGCGGTGTGACAAGAGTGGTGGTGCTCCACTCCGCCAGTATATATGTCTGTACATTATGGGTGAACGAGGGCGGCGTGTTCGCCAGTATACATAGAAACGCATGGATTTAACGAGGGCGGCGGTGCTCGCGACGATATATATACATGCATATGAATACAAATGACGATATATACGCGTGGTAGCTGCCGATGGCCGGTGTCTTGTCATTTATTTACAACGTGAGGCGGGCCAAGGCGGTGTCGGTGCGTGATGTTGTGATCCTATGTAACATGTGAACCATGTAGTCATTCATCATATGAGAA